ACTCAGAACTCTGTGATTTTAGAAAAAAGGAAAGTCAAACGTAGATACGTCTTTAAGAGACGCCTCACCTCCTCCTCCTCCACCCCGCGCAGCTGCAGTCCTCCTGCACCACAACCCCACTCGCGTGTGATTTATACAGTTTTTTTGCGCAAAATTACTGATTTTTGATGCTCTTTAAACTATTAACCATCGGAAGGGGTTGACATGTGGACTCTAAGTCCCGGGCTGGTCGGAGCCACGCTGCAGGTGGACAGGTGCAGCAGGTGGAGAGGTGCAGCAGGTGGACAGTTGCAGCAGGTGGACAGGTAGACAGGTGCAGCAGGTGGACAGGTGCAGCAGGTGGACAGGTGCAGCAGGTGGACAGGTGCAGCAGGTGGACAGGTGCAGCAGCTGCGGTCAAACTGCCTCTCAGCCCTCGCTTTAAGAACAGTCAGGTGATCTGTCACAGTTTTGTTGTGCTCGTGAACACACGGTGTTACAGGGTCAGGGGGAAATGCTGCGAGCTGCTTTTAGAAATATAATATATATAAAATACGACGTAATCCTCGGTGGAAAATAATCCAGGAAACGCTGACGGCTTTCCTGGGAGGTGTTCACCTGAGCTGAGGGAAGCTAACCCCCCCACCTACAGAGAAAGGGGGAAAAAAGGCAGCAGTGTCAGTCAGACAGCACGACCCGCCCTGCTCTGTTCTGATTGGGTAAAACTTTGACTCTGGTTCTCTTGATTGGGTGAAAGAACCATCACTTTTATCCCTAGAATGTCTTTTTTTCTTGGTTGTCCACCAGACAACCGGGAGGTGGGATCTGGTTGTCCGAAACAAAAATAGGTTGTCTCGGACAACCTAAACAATGATTGTGTCAACCCCTGTTTTACGTTGAATAATAAATAATAAATAAACTTCATTCCAAAAGTGTGGCGGCTTTTATTTAGCCGTGGCGGTGCGCCACAATCAATTACATGTAGGGGAAACGCTTATATATATGTATTAGCTCAGAGATACACATTCTCCTTCGTCACTGAGGTCCTCCATCCACATGACAGAGAGGAGAACACAAAAATGACTCAGCTGCAACTGAAAATATGGATGGAGGACCTCAGTTTAGCTTGTTTGTTTGTTGCACTAGCACCGAGCTAATGTACATATAAGACAATATAGCATGGGCGCTAGCGCAAAGGCTAACAGGCTAATCTGAGGTTCTTCTTCCATGAAGCAGCTCTGTTGTCCTCCATCCATATTTTCAGTTCCAGGCTGAGTCATTTCTACCTTCTCCTCTCTGTCAACGCTCTCTGGTTTCATTTAAAAGAGTCGATCATCAGATATTGTCCAAGATTAACCTTCAGGGTGGATATAGCTCGCTAGCAGCCTCGCACCGAGGACCTATCCACGTCATCATTTACCCAGAATGCTTTGTGTGGAAATAAAATGGCTCCGTCCTTGTTAAAACATATTTTTTAAAAATTACAAAACTAAACAACCTACAGTATTTTTACAGTCTTTATTTTACAGTTAAAATGAATGTTTATCAAATAAAGTCTAATGTTACAACTAATCAGGGATCCCTTTAATAATTCTGAACAAAATGTATTTTTCAGCGTTCTGTTCGGAGAGCAGGATGATCTCAACATAACTATGGTATATTTGATGTCATGAAACTGACCAGGCTGTCACCACTCGAGGCCACACATCTGTAAAGTAGAAAATACCAAAACAAATTCCTGATGAACTAACAAATCTCTGAAACCTGACCTAAACACTCGGTCCAGAAACAAGTCTGTTGCATTTTCCAGATTTGTTAACTCTACTGTTTGTTTGGGTAAATGTAGAAAATGTAAAAAGTCCTAAACACAAGTCAGACATGTGTTTATGTTAAGATAATTCACTTTTATCTGAATAGTTGGAAGAGCAGACTTTGTTGAAACTAACTGTTGGTAGAGGTGAGCAAAATATATCGCAGACGATATTATTGTCCATGTTGCTTTGAAGAAATGCAACTTTACATTATCGAGTATTCATACTGTCTCGAAAAGACAACAAATACGGTGGTGAAGACAGAGTCATAAGTCCCCATTCGTGGAATATTTGCCAGACAAACCAATCAGCGGGCAGGATTCAGTCATGTCTTATGTCTTACTGTACAGCACTTTGGTTGTTGCCCTTAGGGTTTTTAAAATGTTCTYTATAAATAAAGTTGATTGATTGATCTGACTAGGGTTGGCGGCATCTAAGCCAATCAGCAGACAGAATTCAGTCATGTGACAGTGGTCTGCATCAATTGAACCAATTAGCGGGCAGGATTCAGTCACGTGATTGGGGTCGGTGGCAACTGAACTAAACAGTGGGCAGAATTCAGTCTTGGACTCGCGCCAGCCAAAACCACAGGGCTTAAAGTTCTCTGTCATCACAACGGGTTTTCGTAACTCTGAACATGCCCAAGGTGAATTTCCGTCATCTGTAAGGCGGGGGAACTCTGGTTGTTTTCTGTTGTGCTCTTGTTAAAGCCACCCAGTCTGCTCCAAACAGGAAGCTACTTTCAACAAACCAAACAAACCCCAGAGCACTTTTATCCAATCAGAGCAGAGCCAGGCAGGTCAGCAGGAGCAGAAGTCCTCCTGAGGGAGTAAACCTCTCCTCTCCTCCCTCCCTCCCTCACTTCACTACTGGAACTTTGGTCTCTAAAACCTAACTTTATATTAAATATTTGTGCTYAGAGCGCCATTATCCAACAGATATTTCCAACGTTGCACATATGACCAAGCTCCTCATGCAAAGGCCTGACTTGTAACATTCAGTTAGTTTGTCATGCTTTTGCTCTCCTACAACATTTCACAAGTTATAAAGTATTCTGCCACATGGAGAACACTACAATAATGTAAGCACCAAGTATAAACACCTCCATTGCTGGCGAGGATGCACGCACTCCATGCTACCCAAAGTGCAAACCGAGCCGAGACTGCTCCCATGTGAGTGTGTTGAAGCGTGCGCATGCTGTGAGTCAGTTCTGTTCACTGATGAGCATAAATGTTTACCCCCTCCTCGTCATCATGGAGAGCATCATCATGTTCCCCAGGGGACTGTGTTTCAAGTGTTTTTGTAGTTTATCATATCCATAGATGTCCTAGTAAGCAAGGTTTGACAGCATTTATTTTTTTAAGAAAGATATCGTCAGATTATTGATATCAGCAAATAAAAAAAATTATCGAGATATATATTTTTGTCCATATCACCCAGCTCTACCTGGTGGTGAGTTGGCTCCAGTGGTGGGGGAGGATGCCGGTCAGACCTGGCAGACCCAAACATATAGTGAGGGTCTTCTGGGAACGTCTGTCAGAGTCTCCTGTCAGACGGAGCTTCAACTCACACCTCCGGAGGAACTGAGGTGGGGGACACTGAGTCCGAGTGGGCCATGCCCCGTCATTGTCGAGGCAGCTTACCTGAGCTGTGGCYGTAAGGTTGTCRGTGCCTGTCATGGCAGCAACCCTCGAACCCGCTGGTGGGCATCGGCAGTSAGGGATGCTGTCAGGCTGAAGAAGGAGTCCTGTCGAGTCTTTTTGGCCTGTGGGACTCCGGAAGCAGCCGATAGGTATCGGCAGCCCAAGTGGATTGCGGCTCGGGTGGTCGCTGAGGCAAAAACTTGGGCGTGGGAGGAGTTCAGAGAAACCATGAAAAAAGACTAACATATGGCTTTGGGGCGATTCTGGTCCACCATCCAGYGTCTCATGGGGAAAGTGGTTCACCACCAACAAAACACTGTTTATAGTGGGGATGGTGCGCTGCTGACCTCAACTCGTAACGTCGTGAGTCGGTGGGCGGAATACTTCGAAGACCTCCTCAATCCCACCGACACGTCTTCCCATGAGGAAGCAGAGCCTGAGGACCCTGGGTYGGACTCTCCAATCTCTGGTGCCGAGGTCACTGAGGTGGTTAAAAAGCTCCTCGGTGGCAGGGCGCCGGGGGTGGATGAGATTCACCCAGAGTTCCTTAAGGCTCTGGATGTTGGTGGGGTTGTGTTGGTTCACGCGACTCCACAATATTGCGTGGACATCGGGGACAATTCCCTTGGATTGGCAGACCAGGGTGGTGGTTCCCCTGTTTAAAAAGGGGGGCCGCAGAGTGTTTCCAACTACAGGGGGATCACACTTCTGAGCCTCCCTGGAAAGGTCTATTCAGGGGTCCTGAAGAGGAGGGTCCGTTGGATAGTCGAATCTCTGATTCAGGAAGAGCAGTGTGGTTTTCGTCCTGGTCTTGGAACAGCTCTACACCCTTAGCAGGGTCCTGGAGGGTGCATGGGAGTTCGCCCAACCAGTCTATCTGTGTTTTGTGAACTTGGAGAAGACTTTCAACCGTGTCCCTCTGGGACTCCTGTGGGGGGTAYTGCAGGCCCATTGATACGGGCTGTTAGGTCCCTGTAGGACCGGTACCAGAGTTTGAATGAAAAGGAGAAGCAAAAATGTTCAAGTTTCAAGTTAGCCAACAAGTCCTCAATTCTCCGCACCACCGTATTTCTGGATAAGCTCACATTGTTGAAATCAGGCACTTTTTCTGGGCACATTATTTCTGTGACTTTGATGAGACACTGCTTTATGAAACCACCGTCTGAAAATGGTTTGCCGTGCTGGGCAATAAGTTTAGCAACTTCATAACTTGCTGTTGTGGCATTTTCCTGTATTTTGTTAGCACGAAATGCTGGTCTCATAATGCAGACGGACATTATATTCTTTCATCACAGCTACACCTTCAATGCAAATCAAACAAACACACTTTCCWTTGATTTCTTAGAAAAAATACTCATTTTCCCACCGTGTTTGAAATCTCCTACACTCACTCGCTATTTTTCGTTTCTTCGGCACCGCCATTTCAGAAGACTCAAATGGAGTGTCGCAGTCACAAAAAGGTTCTTCTTCTCTTATTCTCTATAATTTCATTTCTGTGGCTGGCTCCATCTAGTGTTGAAACTGAGAAGTRCAACTTAGTTGAGCTAAAAACTTATTGTGCGGGCCATATTCAATTATATTTTCAGAATTTGCTGCGGGCCAATAAAAACGGTGCYGCGGAGGCCGTAGTTTGACACCCCTGGCATAAAGGGTAGTGTTACAGCCAGCTCCTCTCCTAGGTTCTACAAACAGAAAAACAGCTGTGGTGTCACAGGAGTGTTCTGCAAGTTCCCACTTCTGGACCACTTAGCAATAATACATGTAAACAGTTTTAAGAGTACTTTGATTGTTGTTGTCCAAATGATTCAGAGGATGTCTCTCCTGCAGGTGTCAGACCGTCAGAGCTACCTGCTGGTCTCTGTGGTTCTGTGTGTGTTTCTGGGGCTCCTGCTGGGTCTGCAGTGCTGCCGCAGCTCAAGTCCAAGCCCCAAAACCACCACCGTGGCCCTCCCCAAGAGCAACCACTACCCCAGCCCCAAGAGGTTTGTGTCCTTCTCCACACACACACACACACACACACACACACACACACACACACACACACACACACACACACACACACA